AAGAGTGTCCCACAAGAGTGTCTCACAAGAGTGTCCCACAAGAATGTCCGACAAGAGTGTCCTGCAAGTGACCCACAAGAGTGTCCTATAAGAGTGTTCCACAAGAAGTGTCCTACAAGAGTGTCGTGTAAGAGTGACCCACAGGAGTGTCCCAGAAGAGTGTCCCACAAGAGTGTCCTACAGGAGTGTCGTTTGGACATATGTAGCTTTTCGAAGTGTTTGCTTGCGGGTTCGTGGGCTTCATCTTGTTTTTTTGTTGGACTTTTCTTTGGACTTCTGTTCGTTTTCCTTTCTTTCTTCGTTTCCACAAAGAATCCTTGTCAGCAGCTTTTTCCCATGTCGATGGCCGAAGAGGACAAGATGGAAAGGGCAACTCACTGAACAGTTTGTCGTTTGTCTTGGTACTGACCCAGTCCATGTCAAACACATGTTTTGCTGTCGCAAGCCTAAGCTTGAGGCAAAGGGAGAGAGGATGGTAAGGGCGCAGGTAAAGCAGCAGGCAAAGGGGAGAAAGGCAGGATGTTGGATTTTGGGTTTGCTGCGAAACGTATTTTTTTGGTTAGCTTTGCGCACCCAAGATAGCAAAGGAAAGGGCAAAGGAAGTGGGAAAGCCAAAGGCAAAGAAGACAGGAACGACGATCTCACAGTGGTGATCAAAGGTCCCTCATCATGTCACGTGTCGCGCAACTGTGTGAAAGACATTTCTTTTTCCTTCTCTGTTGCTCTTTGTTTTTTGCTGGACTTTTCTTTGGGCTTCGCGACTGTTCATTTTCCTTTCTTCGTTTCCACAAAGAATCCTAAGAGATCAAAGAGACTATAAAGAAGGACACATGTTGCAGCATGTTTAGACATTTTAGTCAGTTTCTTGATAGTCAACTTCGGTCAGTTAAAGCACCGTGCAATGATTGTATTTTTTGAGGGTAGCATCAACCCCACCCCGCACTTGTCAGTGTGAGACGAGAGGGGAAACTGCGGCTGTAGCTGTGCTGCCGCGCCGCTGCCGTTTGTCACTGTTTATCGCGCAGCTGTCACGGTGTTCTTGCTTTCCCGACATCTGAAACTTTAGTCGCTTGAAGATGATGGACCTACTGCTGGCTCTTTGTTGTAAATCATAAAAGCGCGCCGGAAGACACATGAGCGGAGCCGACCTCCGTGTCCAACCCGTGTGGCCGAGGTGACTTGGATCATATGTGAAAACCATCCAAATAGAGGGCGCTGCAGACACCCTACACAAATCACGTTACAGTGCTTGAATCAGCGCTTGAACCTCGCTGCCAACTACCATTCCTAATTCGGGCGCAGGGCCCATGCCAACTTCCCTACCCATTCATGCAACTTTCAGGAAGTCTGGGTGCCTGAAGTGCCGCGTGAAGCCTACCTGCCCTACCTCCATCACCGACATAAAGCTGCCGACGTGACTGTGTGACCCTCATCCAGTCCGCGCGGTTTGCTTCGTTCATTGTGCGGTCCTCCATCTCCGCGCGCCGCAGCCTATTCCGCCTTTGTCCTTGCATGGTCTGCCGGTAGCGATGAAAACTTTTCTCCCAAAGGGGTACCTTTTTGCCAGCCTGGCGGTGCAAGTATGGCCCGGCGTATATGTAGTGTTCCAAGTCGTGTTCTCGCTGCCACCGGCGAGCAGATGAAGAACAACCAGTTGTCGTATTTGCAGCGGACGAAAGTTGTTACTGCACCGCTTGGTTCCCAATGCCAGCCATGAGGAGCAGGAACTCGGGAGGAGGAACAAGCTGAGCAGAGCAGTATGCCGTGGGCCTGCCCTTCTGTAACTCACCGCTTCCCACACAATTTAGCTTTCTCAATGTGACCGCATCCTCAACAGCAATGTTTGGGTACCCTGCAGATTCAAGAACAGATCAACGCATAACACTCTTGGTTGATTGTTTGTTCAACAGGCTTCGGCGCCCTGTTCCCTTTCCGTCGCAAGTCATAAGGGCATAGGGTGTACGGGGGCCAAAGACCTAGCTCTAATTTCGCTGCTCTCGCATCCTGGGAAACATTGTTCGCTTGCTTACGCGCGGAGGTTGCTGGACGTACAGTATTTCCAAGTCTTTGTCGTGTGCACAGTCTTTTGGAGTTTGAAGTAACTTCAATTGTCAGGAATTCAGTGAATGTGGTGAGCTGACGCGGTGCAGTGTTCCTTTGAACGAGGCAAGCAGAGTTTTCACAAAGTAGGGGCTGAAGCAAGCTGGTGCCATCCATCGTGCGTCCACTTGTTGCACAACATGCACATACATCAGGACGGGAGAGTCAAAGGCATGGCTTTCGTAGAGTTCAAAGACCATGAGGCGGCGGTTCAATGTCACTTTTCTTTTTTTCCTTTTCGGTCCGACTTGCTCTCATGACTCATAACTGTATGTGATTGAAGGCACTGTCACGTGCGTTCAGCTACTACCACGGCACCAGATTCTTCGGGCGCAAAATCTTCCTCGCCCGTGCAAGTGAAGGCCTTAAATAGTTGAAGGTGTTTCAACACGTTCTGCTGCCTATGCTCGGTATCATGCTTCTGAGGTGGCCGCAAAGTCCACTGAACTTCTGAGAAGTTTGTGTTTCTTTGCGTTTGCTGACACAGATCGATTTGAAGAGTTTGAAGGAAAACACGTGGTCCAACCCTGCAAGCACATGGCGCATTATCGTTTCAAGATGTCCTATCCAGTTGCGTGTCTTTGACATCTCTGACGGCGCGTTTCGTTTTTGATTTGGTTTTGGTCCATTCCCTTCCATTCCCTTTGGTTTTCTCGTGTTATTGTCGCGGGCCAGGGCCTTTCTGACGATCATTGTCCAACTTAGTGGCATCCCCCATTCTATTTGGCAAACTCGCGAGCTTTCTTGAGCTACCACACCAAAGCTTTAAAGGTATGTTGCTTTGTCAGCTTTGTCCAGGCTGACCCTTGCAACATACACCAATTGTGCGAATCAAAAGCCACCCACAAGAGTTCTTGGACAGTCTCAGGGCGCAGGATTGTCTAGGCGAGTTGAAGTTGTTACGCTGCAGGTTGGCTTTGGGATTTCAGCAGTTGGCTGTGGGTCGCGATCATCAACGTGTTTTGGAATCATCAACGTGTGTAAGGATCCAAAAACGCGAAGCCAAGCCAAGTTGAGGTCAGTGTGAAGGGTCATTGGTCACTGAGACCCCTTCCAACAAACATGGGAGTGGAACATGCTCTGATAATTGGAGTCTGTGGAGCCATGGGCAAGTGCAGCTGCTGTGGTGCCGAAGGAAAACGGATTGACGGTTGTAGCTGTCGAGGTGGCAAATCCCATGGACCTTGCCTCAGCAAGTGGATGCCAACAAATTTTAGAATGCAATATGTATGGCATAGTGGAGTAAGGAGCAGCGGAAGTTGCACCTTGGTTAACTCTTCCTACCGTCACACTTCTTGACACTTTCAGGCTGCTTAAAACTCGCAGCTGAAACTACGTCTGAACAGTGTGGTGCAGCGATCCTTAGCTTCCATGGGACGCAGTTACATGTGAGAGGGCAGGGTGGTTCCATTCTGCCGTTTTTGCGAGCGCCAACGCGGGCAAGGCTGAAGCTATTTGTTTGCAAACGACGTGAAATTTGGGGACAATGGCGTCAAAAAGAGGGGGTTTGGTGTCGCAGAGATGCGTTTTGGGAGGCATTTTGGTGGTATGAGGTGATGTATATGACGATATGGTGATGTCAGTGCTGTGGATTGCGGAAGTGCACGATATCGGAGTGATTGTTGTGTCTTTTCAGGTTATTTGTCAGGGAACGGTAGGACAAAGGATTGAATCATGGCAGAACAGAACTGCGCCGCCCACTTGAACCGCATTCTCGCCGCATGTCAAAAGGATTGAATGGCGAGAATGGCACAAAAGTCAGGTCCCAAGGTCTGGTGTATTCGGCGCGGGAATTCCAGTCACTGGACTTCTTACTTGTCCTATTTGGCGTGGAGACACACAAACAACGCACACATGATCGTCACCAATGACCAAGCCACAGCCGACCAAGGAATCCACGAAGCGCTTCGTGCCACGAATCCTTTCCCGGATCCACGAGAAGCGCTTCGCGCAAGTGCAGCTGTTGCGGTGCTCCAGGAAGGCTTGTGTCAGGCTGCAGTTGTAAAGGTGGAAAGAGCCACAGTGTCTTGGTGTCACACCAACGATGGCTTGTGTCTTCTTGGAGAAGGCAGGGGTGGGGTGTCGGAGAGCGTATTGGAAAAGGCACAGCGTTTTTCTGGTCCTTGTGGCTTACCCATATTACCGTGGTTTGTCAAAGTCCTAGCAGTGGTTTGTCAAATTTGCAGTGAAACAGGGAACAATTGTTCAGAAATCAAAGCAGTGTTTCCAAATTGTTCAGAAACAATTGTTTCCATTGTGCTTTGCTTTACTAGTGCTGGACTGCTTGAACATGTGTGGTCTGAAATCTATTCTCTGAGTGCAGAACAGTGGTTTCTGAGCCATCCGTGGTCGCTCATGGCCTGAGACGGGTTCCAGCCAAGTTGGTTGGCATTGCTCTCCGACCAGATTTTGAGACCCAATGCGACCACATGGGCGACGTTTCTTTCTTCACACCCCCAAAAAGGCACCAAACATGTTGAACTTGAGGGAACAACAGATAGAAATTCACGCTGGCCAGTGGCCTCCAAGGCTGCTTGAGACTTGCAGATCTTGCAGCTCCAAGTCGAACAGCTGGGTATGGCATCCCTGGGAGACTTGGATACCGCGCCGCCCATTTGTCAGCAAAATTGGTAGGTTCATATCCGACTAGCTAGTTGACATTGTTGCAGCTGAACTTTTTTTGGAGGGGGCAAGTACTAGCAACAACTGTACAGCTACTGGCCAAAAGGCGGACATAGGGGCCGAAATGTTTCCACGAGCACCATGTGTTAGAGGACCTGCGTTCTGATCAGACCGCTGGCTCAGTTTCTCAGAAAGCATTTCCCTCGTAGATGGAGCTGTTTTGCCTCTTCGTGCCTAGGACTGTGATGCCATCGGACCACACGGCTTCGCCACCCCGACCGACCCAGCCAGACGTCCAGACCAGACCGTCGACCTTGGCTTCGGCGGCGCGTGCGATCAGTGCGGTCTTCTACGAAACGCCTCAGCGCCTGTTGCGAGCACTTACAGGTGGGACTTGGGGGAGGATGCGACAGGTTTCGTTAGCATCGAAAGCCGGTATTTTGTTCTGTGCGTCGACTTGGATCTGCCCAACATGTTTTTCTGATTCAAGTACCAATCCGAGTCTTGCACCAGTACCGAGCCGGAGCCCCACCAGTTGAGAGCTTACCAGGGAAGAACGGTGCTGTTTTTGAGCTTCTTTGGCACCCCAGTTGGTGGGTGGTGAGAAATCTGGCTTTGCCAAACAGTGTGGTTTGCATGTTGTCCCCACAATGGACACCTTATGTCATGTAACTGATGTAAGCCATGTAAGCCATGCAGCCCGATGTGTGCTCCGACCGACCGACCGGGCTGCACCGTGGATCCATCGATTCCGGTCGCAGGTCAGCGTGCGGTGGAGGTTCCTGAGAACGAGATCGAGCGGTTGAGGGCCTCCTTGGAGGAGATCGGGCTTCGGAGAGAGGTGCAACTGGAAGGCGAAGTGGAAAAAGGTGGATGGGACCAGGTGACAAGTGGGGAGGACTGTACTGTAAATCGAAAAAAACAACAATTAACATCGCAGAACTCTTCCTTTTCTTGTCTAGCCCTGGCAGTAACTATCCAACTGGCAAGTAAAGTGGGTACAGGAAGACCCCGATCTCCGTGCTTTATTTGAGGGTTGCGTCCAACTTGGCATATCCACGAGATGTTTTTCTCCACTGCTCGACATCGGAATGTTTGTGCCTGATTCAGGCTTGCAATATGACGGGGTCCATTGGATGATGAAGCAAGAAGCAAGAGCTGGTTGGCGAGGAGGAATTCTTGCGGATGAAATGGGCTTGGGAAAGACTCTCCAGATGTTATGCGTCATGGCTCTCAGATGCGAGCCAACCCTGGTGGTTTGCCCTTTGTCTGCCCTGAAGTCCTGGAAGGATGACATCAATAACTTCTTCCAACCCAAGACATTTGAGCTCATCGACTATCATCAGTTGCGGCAGGAGAAGAGGGCACTACCAAACCCTTTGCCTTCAAATGCAGTGGTCTTGATCAACCCCGAGTCAGCAGGTCGTGATGTTTGGAGCAAGACCTTCAGCCGCACAAGTGAGCAAAAGGATTTGCTCTGCCGCGAACTGTCCCAGTATTGTTATGTGCCCCGGCTGTTTCGGGCCCAATTTTGTAAGTTTTTTCATCACGACTTCTGGTCTTCTCGTCGTCTTGCGCAGTGTTTCATGAAGAGATGCTTTGGCCCCCTCCTTCCTTCCTGTGATGCGAATAAAGAAACCAAGCTCGCACAAGAAATCTTTCCAAGCTCTTGGCAGACTTCGTATAGAATTAAATTAAGAAAACCAATCTTCTTTTGAGTTACTAATAGCAATGGCCTCCACCGCACCTAGTAGCGATGGCCTCCAACCTAATAGCAATGGCCTCCAACCCAACTTTTTTTTGCTTTCTGCTCGAAATCAGGTGGATCCCGATTGGACATGGGAGCAACTGGAACAAAAAGCTTGTGAATTTCAGCTGAATCAAGGCGGACCACGTGGCTGGGCGGATGTGGTGGGGGAGAGGCGCACGCGTTGTTGGCTTCGGCTCGGAACGCGTGGTTTGCGAATGTCTCATGTCGTGGAGACGGCCAAAAGAGCTTAGAAGGGCCGAACATGACATGCCATGGCATAAACATGAGACATGAGACACGCAAGACATGTTGTGGGTAGCCTCGAATGTACTGTTGAAGGACACCCTAGATGGAAAGTATCCTCTGTTCACAGTTGCTGCAGTTCATATCTGAGGATGTCCAAAGGATCATTCTTATGCTCCCTGACACCGCATGACACCGTCCACCTAGGCGATGCATCTGGCGGAGGAAAAACTCCGCCGCCACGCGATCGCTTCGAAAATCCGCAGTCGGAGCTGTTGAAAGCTCGGTTCTCGCGCATGGTCTGCGACGAGGCGCGCGTTGCCACGCGTGGCAGAACGCCCGCTGCCGAGTTCCACCCGGTCGAGAGCGGTGGGGGTTCCCGCAGCGGTGGGGCGCGAAGGGTGGGAAGAA